CCATTTTGGTTACGAGTTTTATTAAGCACGAGCGAAGGTTTCGAGCGAGTGTTTAATAAAAAGGAGTGTCTAGAGAAGTTTATAAAACGAGTTGCATACTATACTTTATCTACGACGAACAGAAATAAGAATTTTATGCCAATTTTAATTCATAAAAATTTGACATCTGACGAATTTAACCTAACTTTTTCGCAATTTATAATAAAGCTTATAATTTCAGCCCGTGACTAAAATGCCCATAAGCCATTGTTGTTAACTTAAGCCCGTGACTAAAACGCCATAGTCACAGCTTATTAATGTGGGAGTAGATAAATGTTATAATGTTAAATAACGTAAAGTTCCTGTTTCCTGTCCTCTTTTTCATTTATGTTCCCTGAACACACTTGGAAAAAATATTGTTGGACTATTAAATAGTAATGTTGCCGCGAGACGAGACGAGACGAGAAAAGTCCTTCTCTCGTCTCGTCTCGTGCAGCGAGAGAAAATGGGTCTTTCGTCTCGTCGAGAATACTCTTTTCTCGCTCGAGAGTGCCTTTCTCTCGTCTCGTCTCGTTTCTCTCGTGGTAAAAGTACCTAAGTATGAATACAAAAATTATTTGGAATGAAATCCGAATTCGTTTATATTTTTTCATATAGAAATTTAAACTGAAAATAAAAAAAAATGTGTGCAAAGACCACACTAATAAAGTAAGACTTTTTACGCCGAAAATGTCGCGCATTTGAATCAAATGGTTGTTGGATCTATGTCGAGTAGTTTCATCTAGTATTATACTATAATAGGTGTTTTTTTTAACGTGAGACAGCTCAATATCTCGTGAAATACGCATTTCACAGAAAAAAAGGGGACATTATTTGGTGCTACCGCTAGCCACCCCCTACCCCTCCTTAAGGGTGAAACGGGGGGTAACTTTAGTAAGTCAAATGCAATGACCCGATTTTTTTCACAGATTTTGGTAGTACAAAAAAAAATGAATAACTTTAATTGAAACTTTTTTTCAATTTATCAACAGATGGCGCTGTAATTCAAAATTTAAGAAAATTGGGTTTACTTGTAGCCAAACCTGACCCATTCTCACGTGGGGGGAGGGTGGTCTCTGAAAATATCACGTATTTTTTCTTTTCGAATAAAACAGTGTAAAATTGCGAGAAATCTGGGTTAAATTAAGTAAACAATTATAAGCAAATTGTTTTTTTAATAAATCTAACGGAATCAATTTACATTAAAACCATGCATTTTAAAAAAATCTCACGTGAGATTAAGGAAGGGGGAGGGGGTCGAGCAAAATCTCAAGACATCTCACCAAGGGGAGGGGGGGAGTCGAAAAATCGCCAAAATTGCCTCACGTAATTAATGGATGACCCCAAATGTATTATTTGAAACGTTTGAAAAACAAAAATTAACATTAAATGAACAATAGTCGGCTCTGAAAACAATTTATAACAAATGTTCAAAATGTCATCCTTTCATTTCTAAACATTTTTGAATGCTGGTAAGGAATTCTGGCTCCACCATGTCCTCCCGAGTTGTAGGAATTGCAGCGTAAACTTTTTCTTTCAAGTAACCCCACAGGAAGAAGTCTGGCAGATCGTTTTCTAGAAAATTCCGGTACTTTTCACCATTTAATCCCGTTCGCCAAAGGTACCACACCAAACGTTTACCGAGCAGGGACGCTGGTGCTCCACTTGGTGTCGAAATGGAAGGACGACATTTCGAACATTTGTTATAAATTGTTTTCAGAGCCGACTATTGTTGATTTAATGTTAATTATTGTTTTTCAAACGTTTTAAATAATACATTTTTCTTAAATTTACTTCTGCGCATATATGATGTAACTACTCCACATAGATCCAACCATCTTGTACCTAGTGCGCATGTCCGTCATTTTGAATCCGCAATTTTGTTTTTTTAATGGATATCAAATTCTGAATCAGGGACACCATAAATATCTAAATACTAAATTTTACCCAAACCATTAAAGCCGAACGACGACTTTTCGTCATATTGGATCAGCCATTTTATTAAAAATAAATATCAAATTTGTAATCAGGCCCTCAAAAACCACATGAAGTTGATAAGTTTATTGAATAAGCAATGCTTATTAAGCATACCGGTTTTTTTTTTAATAGTATAAGGAGTGCCATACATGTGCTTATACAGGGTAAATTTTAAAAAGTATTATTATTTTATAAGTAATTTTTTCCTGGTTAACGTTAAGTTGTGTTATAAAATAATACAACGTTAACCAGGAACAAAGTTTGTTTATTATGAAATGCGAATAATGTTCTCATTGGTCCAAATAAATATCGTCATGTGCAAAATTATAATTTTATGTAAAAAAAAATTGTTTACTTATTACCGGGATAATCGAGAGAACGAGAGAGATCGAGAGAAACGAGAAATTCTCGAGCGAGAGAGGGCATTCTCTCGTCTCGTCTCGAGCCTTTTTTCGAGAGAAAATCGCCCTCTCGTCTCGTCGAGACGAGACGAGACGAGAGGCGATATTCTCTCGTATCGGCGGCATCACTATTAAATAGGAAGAAAAAGTTTGGTTTAAAATTTTTTGGGATTTTATTATGATGGTACAAATTGCAGGGTGACGATTATAAATTAAAAAAAAAACAAGAGTAAAAAGCACTTAAATGGCACTACTTAAGTACAGTTATATTAATTAAAGTAAATTTATGGTGTACTTTAAAGGTTGACCAACATTTTTATTTAAAAACAATTAATTAAATTGATGCAATTGATTTTATGGATTCTCATTCAAAGTTAACATTGAAAGTACCAACTGTACAACAAATTATACATAGACTGTCGTTAACCTTGATATTGAATGTTCACACATACAATTTGCAATTATTCTATTTTTGCTATTAAAGAGCAAAAATATATGTTTATACATTTTAAAGTTAAAAGGAAATCCAGTATTTACCAATATGTCAAAAACGATATTTTGGTCTACCAGTTTTTATAAATATACATTATTTTATTTTAGTTTATACCCCCATCAATCTAAAAAATATAAAATGTATAAAACATAAATCGTATATAATAAATTGTAAAACTAAATAAAACAATATTCTATATTAAAAAATAGCACATTTATTTTCCATATAATGTTTAAATTGAATTCATTAATAATTTTGTAATTTTTGTAAATTTTTACAGATTAATAAACCATAAATATAAAAAAGAATTTACAAGGTGCATCAAAATCCATTCCAGGGATTTTAAAGGCATTTACTTAAATACATTTTTTTATAACTTCGTATCTGGCATTTATTTAAACAACTACCTACTGCTTATAATAGACAGCCTATTTATTAATTTTTTAACGTTTAGTGCCATATTTTTAAATAATTATGATTATGACAAGTTTTAAATTTTCATTTTAATTTAATTGTTTTTTTTCGAAATGTGGGTTGGATATAATGTCAAAAATCAGTGTGAAATTACTTCCACTTTGATAGAGATAAGTCACTTGAAACAACCATTCCAAATTTTTACATCAATTTGTCCTTACAAATTACTAAAAATCTATAAATTCTCTCGGTAACGTGAAGTCATGACGTGTGATGTTTTACTAATAAAGTGTAAGCAAAAATAAAAATTCCGAACATACCCAAATTCTTGGACAGTATATTTTGGTGGGTTCGTAAATTTTTTTTAAATTTAAAATTCGCACCTTTAGTATGTACCTACTTACTTATCCTCAATTTTCATTTCACGATTTAAATACTTAATACTAAATAATATTAAACATAACCTTGAAACCATACAAGAAACAGATGTTAAATTAATTCGTAATTCTTGACACATTTGTTATAACATCGTAACTTAGCGATCCCTATTTAAGGTCATCGAAGCCTTTTAAATCTTGCGTTTTTCAAAACGCTGTACTTTATCAAAATGTTTGAAAAATGAAGGAAACAAAATTAATGCGTAGATTCCAAATTATGTTTTGCGGAATATTTGACACTGATATTTACCAATTTTAAGTAAAGGCCACAACAATTTTAGTCACTATATTGGATTGTTTTTAGGTTTTTAGACTACCAGCTATTCCCAAAGTATTGTCAATTAGTTCTAAAAGCATACAAAGAAATGTGAAAAAAATATTTTTTTATTTAAGAAATTTTTTAATATAAATCACTTTAAAATCACCAAGACAACAGTCAGCGTTTTATGGACGTGCTCTGATTTTTCCTTGACACACTATGTGGCATGCTCTTTTAAATTCTTTAAAAAAGTAAAGAGTTTTATATTGGAATGGAAATAAAATAAACAGGACGAGCGGCTTTCGAGCGAGTGTTTAATAAAATGAGTGTCTAAAAAGGATTATAAACGAGTTGCATACTATACTTTTTTTACGACAAATATTATTAGGAATAAACAAATTGTATTACTAATTAATTTAGATACTTGTATGGAGCGACATCCAAACAAAAAATAGAGTAACCTATAAATCTGTTTTACCGGCTGTCAAGAAGGCAGTTGGTTGTCAAATTTTCTGTAAAGAATCTTTACCGAAGATCTTAAATGTATCTCTTGAAATACCCTAACTATTAAAATCCGATATAGAAGCAGTTTTTTTCAGTCTTAGTGAAGAGGATGTGTTATGGGTACTCCAGCTGAAATTTTTAATGCTTTATCGACAAATACAAGTGTACCGCCGCGGCGGTGACATCAAAGATTGGCGTGAAGAAACTGTGAAATTTTTTTTTTTTTTAATGGGTGACTAAAACGCCATTAAGTCACAGTCAATGTGTGGTTTTAAAGCTGGGAGTATAAAATCAAATTTATTAGTTTATGCAAATATAGATCATCCTTCTAACCCTTTCCAATTCATTGTAATAATTAATTTATTAATTATTAATTATTCACACATCTAAAGTTAACTTTCTAAAAAATCAGTTTACTATGTATTTATATGTATAATCTATGATTCATAATATAATTTAAAATGGTAATTAATAGTATAAGTAGTTCCTTTTTATATATAAATAATATAAGGATTGTTCCTTTTGTTCACTTAAAAGTCGGTAAAATGAAGTTTGTGATAGCGGTAGTTTTTTTGGTGACGTGTTTAGTGTTTTTGCAAGTAAGTATTTTATCATTATTATTATTATTAATAAAACGTAAAGTAATTTCATAATGCAAATTCGAGACGAGTGTTAGTTACTACATAGATATACAAGTGGCTGGGTAATTAACTATAAGATAAATTGCACAAGAAAATGGAAATGATAATGTTGGGGTGAACCCTAATGCTAATAAATTTGTTGTTTCTTGACACTTTGAATGAAAGTGTTTCTATTTAATTACCAGAATATTTCTCTTGTAGTTTAATTTTATACATTGTTCATTAGTTTTTCATATAAAATGTTTTAAAGATCCACCCTTAAAATTTTAGAAATTATGAAAATACCACAACGATAAAATTTCCAAACTTTAGTTTAATAAATCCCCATAAATAAGAATGCCTATTCAACAAATATCATAACATATAGAATTTATATGAGTACATTAGATGCACAACTCTGTATTTGCAGGATAAGTGATTTTAAGAAAAACTGAAAAACCGCTCATAAAATTATTTTTGAAAAAAAAAATGCAAGTGCTTTTACATAATTTTTATTCAAAAAAGTTTTAAAAAAAATCCTTTAAAATTAGGTAGTTTAGTAAATAATTGAAATAAAAAGATTTAAAAACATAGTTTTGCATCTTCCTCGTTTAAAGACCAAGTTTTGCAAGTGAAAAGTGCAAATACGAAAAAATAACAATTAATCAGGTGATTGTTATATCGTCACGTAGTGCGTAAACGACGTGATTGGTCAACAAGTTTTTAAATGTATTTTATTCTACAAATATTAACTTATTCATCTGGTTTACTTAGGTCTGCTGTAGGCAGTGCAGTAATGTACAGGGTGGTCCACGTAAGGTGACCCATATACTTATCTTAGAAACTACTGGAGTCACAAAAAAATTGTAAGAAACAAATATTCACGAAGTAAAAAATATTTTTAAAATATTATATTTTTATTTATACAGGGTGTTCGGTTTTCCTTGGGACGATACCAACTTTCTTATTTTCAATGGAACACCCTGTATTTTTTTGCATTTTTGGATTCTACCCACTCTTTTATGTATACTTTGTAAATATATTAATTAAGAAAATGTTAATACTTTTTGAGTAAAATTAAGATTTATTAAAATTTCTCCAAATGTAGACACTCGCTAAAAGTTAAAAATAACCAACTAAAAGTTATTATTTTTTATATTATGTAGTATCCATCTCTTTAATAATAAGTAAGCTATAAGTTAATTATTATATTTTTTGGAAAATATCATACAGGGTGTTTTCTATGTCCCGTTGAAAATAGCGATTTTAAAAGTTTAAAATCTTGTTTTTCTTCAATGGAACACCGTATTTATTTTTGCATAATTGGATAGAATAAGTAATTACCTTTCATTATATATATATATATATATATATGTCCTATACCTAAACCTAACAGAAAAATAAATATTCGCATTTTTCACAATTAGTAGCTTTTTTCCAATTACCTAAGTTAAATTTTCATTATTCAAATAAATAAATTTCAATAAAAACAAATAAAAATGCTTTTATATATAAATATATATTACTATAATAATTACCATACGCGCAGAGCTACTAATTTTGTAAAATGCGAATATTTTTTTTAGGTGATCCACGTAAGGTGACCCATATACTTATCTCAGAAACTACTGGAGTCACAAAAAATTTGTAAGAAACAAATATTCACCAATTATTTTTAAAATATTATATTTAAAAGTTAAAAATAACCAACTAAAAGTTATTATTTTTTATATTATGTAGCATTCATCTTTTTAATAATAAGTAAGCTATAAGTTAATTAATTTATTTTTTGGAAAATATTATACAGGGTGTTTTCTTTGAATAATGAAAATTTAACTAAGGTAATTGGAAAAAAGCTACTAATTGTGAAAAATGCGAATATTTTTTTTTCTGTTAGGTTTAGGTATAGGACATATATATATATATAATGAAAGGTAATTACTTATTCTATCCAATTATGCAAAAATATATAGGGTGTTCCATTGAATAAAAACAAGATTTTAAACTTTTAAAATCGCTATTTTCAACGGGACATAGAAAACACCCTGTATGATATTTTCCAAAAAATATAATAATTAACTTATAGCTTACTTATTATTAAAGAGATGGATACTACATAATATAAAAAATAATAACTTTTAGTTGGTTGTTTTTAACTTTTAACGAGTGTCTACATTTAGAGAAATTTTAATAAATCTTAATTTTACTCAAAAAGTATTAACATTTTCTTATTTAATATATTTACAAAGTATACCTAAAAGAGTGGGAAGAATCCAAAAATTCAAAAAAATAAAGGGTGTTCCATTGAAAATAAGAAAGTTGGTATCGTCCCAAGGAAAACCGAACACCCTGTATAAATGAAAATATAATATTTTAAAAATATTTTTTACTTCGTGAATATTTGTTCCCTACAAATTTTTTGTGACTCCAGTAGTTTCTGAGATAAGTATATGGGTCACCTTACGTGGACCACCCTACATAAATAAGATAAAATATATATTTTTTTAAAAATTTGCAAAAACTGACAATGTACAGGGTGTTCACAAAGGGTAGGGGGTATTTGTAAGTTCAATAATAATTTTTATTTTAATTTTTAGAGAAAGTTTTGGAAAATTAAGTCCCAAAGATTTTGTTGTCCAAATGTTGACCCTCGCGCTGCTGGCATTCCTCTAACCAAAAACGGAAATTAACTATCACGCGTCTACTCATATCTCTGAAAACAACGGCCATTTTGTTGCGGATGTTGTGCTTCAGTTGCAGGAGATTTCGTGGTCTATTTTCATAAACTTTCTCTTTAAGGTATCCCCATAAAAATAATCAAGTGATGAAGGAATCATTGGGCCTTACATTTTTGAAAACCGACGAGGGCTAGCACTTACGGTAAACAGGTTAACCGTTCACTGCAGTGAACGGTATTGCGACATGTTAAAGAAACTTGATTCCATAACTGCAAAAGTTTGAAGGTTTTAATGTGGAAACATGGTTTCAACCCCTTAAATCAGTCACTTAAGGTTTTCAATCAAATTATCCCGAAAAAAGTGATCTCTCGACGTGGCACTATTAACTGGCTTCCGAGAAGCGCCGATCTTACACCATTTGATTATTTTTTTATGAGGAAACCTTAAAGATAAAGTTTATAAAAATAGACCACGAATTTTCCTGCACCAGATCCGCACTAAAATGGCCGCTGTGTACAGAAATATGTGTAGAGGCGCAATAGTGCATTTCCGTTTTCGTTTAGAGGAATGCCAGCAGCGCGAGGGTCAACATTTATTTTTTATTGAACTTACAAATACCCCCTACCCTTTGTGGACACCCTGTATATGATGTATTGATAAATATTAAACAATTCTGAATTTCATTATACTTATTTTTGTAGACTTCTGCAGTAACTCCTGACGAACTAGAAATACTTATAACCCACAGCAGAGACTGCAGAGCGAAAACGGGCGCAACAGTTGAAATGATGACGATGGTGGTGGCAGGATTTTTCCCCGAAGATCCCAAAATAAAAGCTCAACTGTTCTGCATCTCCAAAAAGCTGCACTTCCAAACTGAAGAAGGAGAAATAAACTTCGAACCTCTGACTAAACGCGTGAACCACATTCTAAGGGATTCGGAAAAAACCAAGATTATTATTAAAAAGTGTGCCAATAAGAAGTTTAGTCCAGAGGAAACCGCTTATCATGCATTAAAATGTTTTACTGAAGTTGGAAAGATCAACTTGTTGACAGCATAATTTTTAACGAAATAAAATTAATTTTATCTTGATGTTCAAAAAAGGGTTTAAGCTCCAGTGTCTTTATTTAAGGAAAATTACAATAATTGTGCTTAGTTACTTTTGCTAGATGTTATTTTGACCTTTTTAGTTGATTAAGTCCTTTCAGAAAGTAATGACATAACTAAATATAAAATGGCAAGCAAAAGTCCGATGTTATAGGTATTGTATTGTATTTCTAGTAGAAATTTTTTACATAAGTTTTTATACAATAAAATTTATTATCAAGATTTTAAAAACACAATTTTAAATAAAACTTTTTATTTAATTTGTTTAACTTTTTTAACCTTTTTTCTTCTTATAAACATTTTTTATTCTTAAACCACCTAAAATATCTTTGTATTTTACTCTTTTTAAGAAAATAAATAAAATTCTTTAACCTTTTAAATATTTCTTCAGTATTATTCATATACATTACCCAAATTCTGTATTCTGAAAAATAACATTTTCACAAAATAATATTAAATGTTAAATATAGTTATTCAGGGTATTTAAAGAATCTACAAAAACCAAACAAATATTTCCCAGACCGAAATTAGACCTTAATATAAAGTTTCTTAGTTTTACCGCCACTTGATTTTTGACCCTTTAGCTTTATAAACAGTTTTTTAGCTTTATAAACAGTTTTTTGTCGTTTCTTTCTCATTCCACATCAAACAAAAACACACAATGAAATTACTGGAAATGTAATCAATAAATTAATATTAATATTTATTTAATGCATAATACCGGTTATATAATAATAATATGATAAATAAGTTATTACAATAATGACAATGCATAAATCATATTTAATACTTTGGCGAATTTTCTTGTCATCCTATCATTTACACAACCTCTAATTATAATTAGTTGCTCACCTTACGATTAGTACTTGTTAGTCTTAGGTAGGCTATATAATGAAAAACCAATTTTTCTATTATTAGTTTAGAATTTTTCAGCAAAGCAAGAAAATATAAAAAATAAATATGAAATCTTTCTGTGTTCTAGTCTTTATTGCTCTTGGAGTTATTTGCTCTGTAAAAGTAAGTTTATTTTTTTATTTATTTAACAAAAGTGCATATCGATTTTTTTATTTTAATCCTGTAAAAAAAATATTTGCAAAAATGCGAAAAATTGTAAGGTTTAATTTTTAATGCCACAAAAATAATTTACTAATAAATTAAATAAAGATTATAGATAGAGGATATTAATTGTGGGTTAAATAAATACAATTTGTAGTGTACAACCCATAGTGTAAAAATAGGTATTTTAAAAATGTTAACGAAATCTCTATATGGATACTTATTGTGGACTATTTGGCAGCACCAAAACAAGGTTCGGTTAAATCAAAGCTGATCGGATATAAACCTTATAATTTATTTTAAATATTAATAGTATTTTCTTGCTATCTCTTTATTAATGCTGATTATATTATAGTACCTTTGATAAATAAGAAATTAAATTAAGGGTTCAGAATCGTTTAATTGAATAAAAAAATAACAAAATTTATCACAACTTACAATTACAAATGTGTAGAAGAAAACTCTACAACTGCTTTTAACAAAAAATCACCGTATCTAAGGTCGTTAACATTGTTTAATTTATATCTGCTCCATGATTTTAAAAACTCTCGATGAAGAGATTCACCCGCCTGTTCTGACCATAATCCAAGACCCCGATGGTTAAGGTAGCTTAGGCATTCTTCAAGATGATTAAGAGCGATGTGGATTTTTTAAGTTTCCGAAATTCCAGTGGCTTTAAAGGTTTTTCTTAAATGGACAATGTTCTTCTTGAGTTCCTGACCAACGCGACTAGAAAAACAATCTTCAACAACTTTGTTCATTGCCTTTAATGCTGATATTATTGGAACAATTTGTAAAGGGCTAACTTTTTCACGAATGACCTAAATATCGAGAATACAATCAGAATTCTTTAAAAGCTTGCGGCACGCATTTCCTTCAAAAATTTCACCCTGATAGTTTTTTGATATGTCCTAGTTTTTTTGGCCAATTAAGGGCTTCTTCTCTTCCCACGAGTGGTACTAGTCCATCCCAAAATAGGTGATTTACAAAGCCTTGCAAAATGTGCAATTCTGGTACAATACATTTTTGAATAATAAAGGTCCTACCTTCTTCCTCAAACATAGGTACATTTACGGTGCTAAAACATTCTTTAGCGACTTTTTTATTTTTGCCTAGAGAATAAAATTTATCGAAATGCTTGGTAACGTCTCCATAAGTTCTTAAACACATCGTTTGAGCTTCATAGGTGGGATCTTCAACATTTGTGGGTTTATCTTGAAACCTTAGTTCGTGTAGTGATACATAGCAATAAGGACACGGGTACGTTGCAGTTGCTGTCTGAAATCCATTGACGAGGAGGGTCACCTTTAGGTCCGAAACAAACTTGAAGGAAATATATTTGTGTAAGATCAAATAGAAATTTAATATTGTCGTAACTTTCTTTTATTTGAGGGACCATGCATAAAATTATTAATCTTTGTACTCCACTTAGTTTACCTCTTTTTCCTGCTCTTACTCCTTCTGCATATGTAGATCGTTTACCTTGATCCAATGCATTTAGTTCGTCTTCTACTATTTCTTGGTTTCCTGCTAAACCTTTATTTAACACAGAGGAGTAATTTTCCGGTAAAATCGCCAAACAAATTAAAAAAAAACCTTGCCCTTCATCAGCTATAACTTTAATTTCAGTTTTCCAATATAGTTCCTTTTTTCAATAACAGCCCTAACCAGTTCTTCAGCATCTGCCCACACTATAGCCCGATTTTATTTTTCACTCTTTTCATTGATGTCAAATTCGTATAAACCCTGTTTATGAAAACTGCTTATCATTTTTTAATTTTTACTTGCATGAAGACGATATTTAGCCGGAACTGCATTTTTTCCTGCGCATGACCTAACAAAGGTTGTTAAGGTTTCCATTTGGTTTAAAGAAGAACTTGTTTTTGATTGGAAATTGTCTAAATTATTTTCAGAAAAAATGCGTCTTTAGCCATTTTCGGATTAATAACAATCCTAGCAATTGAACCGCATGTGGATAATTTCATGGTCCGCTTCTTTCGGCATTATCAATTTAAATTTTAATACTTAGTCTTTGTATATGATTTTTTCTTGCTGGAGTTTTAAATGACGGTTTCGAATATTTAAGATGTCATTTTGACACTAGCCTACTTTATTGTATTGTCACTTTCCACCTTTTTTACAGTTATTCTTAACCAGTGACAAAAACTTGAATTTTGGTAAAACAGTAAAAAAAATGCCAACAGATTGTTTTCCGATCAGCTTTGACAACCCACCCGACCCAACACTAGTTTTGGTTCCGCCAGATAGTCCATAAAAGGAATATATAAAGGGTTTTCGTTGACATTTTTGAAATACCTATTTTTTGCTAAGGGACACTGTGAACATAAGCTTCAGCTTTGCCAAAAAAATGATACTTGAACGGAAGGTTGGGAAGATATATGCCTCAAATGCTGAAATAATCAATGCTGTTGATGCACCGGCCAATTGTTCTATTCTGAAGGAATGAAGAAGTTTGAGTATCGTTGGAGATGTTTAAAAATAAAACTTAATTTAGCCCAAAAATATTGCATTTTTAATCATTCTAAAGACATCAATATGCCCTCGAACGAGCCCTAACGTGATTTCTTAAACCTCGTAATTACAATTTTTGATAGGTATATAAAATATTGTATATAAAAAACCATTGAAATTTACAAATTTACACAGTTAAAAATATCTTTAAATTAAAAAAATTATAATCTACATTTTTTATATTTCACCAAATATTTTAATTTAATTAAAATATTCTTACAAATTTTTAAGAATTTACTATAATTTTAACACTTTTTATATCTTTTAAGTGCAAACCAGGCTTAACAGTAGAACAATTCGCTAAAATCACCGAATACAGCAAAAAATGCAGAGAAACTAGTGGCGCTACTGTCGAGCAGATGTTAAAAGTCATGGCTGGAGAGTACGAAAACGATCCAAAATTGAAAGCTCAACTTTTCTGCATCAACAAAAAAGTCGGCATTCAAGATGAATCCGGAAAATTAAACATGGCCGCCATTATGGCAAAGCTAAGCAAACTGACTTCAGGAGAGAAAGAAACTGAGGATGTTATGAGAAGTTGCGCGGTTGATAAAGAAAGTCCTGAAGAAACTGCTTATAGCGCTTTAAAATGTGTGTTTGACACAAAAGGAATTAATTTAATTGGATAAAAAATATTTGGTTTGTAATATAAAAGTTTTTCTGAAAGCAAAAAAATGCAATTTCCATGGTGTACCGTTTTACTAAAAGTGATATTAATTATTAATTATAAATCTAATATTGTTTATTGTTATAAATTAAATTTTAATTAATTTTAAGTGTTTTAATTATATAAGTTTAATTTTAACCTTTTTTATTTTTAACTAAACTAAAAAACTATTATAATAGATGTGCTGCCCCTATGCTTTAATAGTTTTTTTAATAAAATTTAATTTATTTTTTTAAGAAGTTTATTTAAAAAATTATAATTAAATCTATAAATACCATAATAAAGTAGATTTTTAAGTCATTTAAATATTTATTAACAATTTAGGATTAAATTGTTATCAATTTCTTGTAAGTAAACTTAACAGCCACCAATAGAAAAATAATCAAATAAGTCTAATTAAAAGTTATAATATAAAAATATTATATTATAATATTATATTATATTATTATTATATAATATTTTTGTACACACTTATTCAATTAGGCACTCTCGTCTAAAATGGCCTTTTAAACTTGATACATAATACACTATTAGTAGTTATTATTTTACGCAACATATATATGATATATAATATTTTATCATAAAAATGTTGCGTAAAATAATAGCTAATTATAGTATATTATGTATTAACTTTGATAAACGCCATTTTAGACAAGCAAGTGCTTAATTGAATTAGTGTCTAGAAAAGTTTATGAACAAGTAGAATACTATACTTTTTCTACGACAAATAATTATTATTATCTAAAAATTATTCAAATTAAATATTTGTATAGAGCGATATCTATAAAACAATAGAGTAACCCACTTGGGAATCCGTATTACGGGTCGCCGGTAAAATTGTCAAATTTGTTTGTGTAAATCGAAATGTATCCCTTGAAAATTGACCGTTTAATTCGATATAGAAGCAGTTTTTTACAGTGAAATGTTTTATAGGCACTCCAAGGCAATATTTTTTTGTAATGACATAATAAAATAATTTTTACATTTAGTAATAATTTACAAGAAGGGCATTTTATTTTAACGATTGTATGACAATTGAGAACTGCCAACTAACTTAAAACAAACTTCAGCCCGTGACTAAACGGCCATAAAGCCACAACTTGTCAATAAAAACTTGTACGATAATGAGCGTTTTAAAGTTGGAGTAGAAATAATATAATAATAATAATAATAATAATAAATGTATTTATCAAGATGCTACATATTTTACAATGATTTAAATTTACAATAATAAAAGATTTAATTATAAATAAATTAAAAGTAAACAACCATAATTTTAGACAAGGTATAAACAGATTTAGAAATTAGACAATACAAGGCTTCTGGTAAGTCTTTTAAACACAATGTGTTTTTTTTAAAGGTTTTTATATTATTTGGCAATTAATTCTACTTGTATAACTAAAGAGCTATCGACCTTGGTCCTTCTGCCTGTATACAACTTAAATAATATGTACCCATACAATGTTTTCGTATAAAAAAGCCGTTTATAAAACTTGATACATAATATACTATTATCTACTTCTACATTGACAAGCTATGACTTCATGACGTTTTAGTCACAAGTTGAAGTTAGCAATATTGGCTTTTGGCCATTTTGGTCACGGGCTGAAGTTAGCTTTATTATAAATTTGGGAAAAGTGAGGTTAAATCCGTTAACATTTGACAGATGTCAAATGTTGAACAAATAAAATTGGCTTTAAATTGTTTTAATTTTACTTATATATTTAAACAAATAAAAAGGAGAGACCCATTGCTTTATTTAATTAATTCCACATGGTGGTAATAAAAACTATTTTATTTACATCTACAATGATTATCTGTGAGTTAGCAATAGTGGCTTTTGTCCATTTTTGTCACGGGCTGAAGTTAGCTTTTTTATAAATTGGGGAAAAGTTAGGTTAAATCCGTTGACATTTCACAGATGTCAAATGTTAAACAAATAAAATTGGCTTTGAATTCTTCTTTGTGTTCCTTAAAGTATAGTTTGCAACTCGTTTTGTAGACTTCTCTAGACTCTCGTTTTTATTAAACACTCGCTTGCAAGCTTCGCTCGTGCCAATAAAACTCGTTACTAAAATGGCATTTATAAAACTTGAATATTGTTATGAAATTTAAACCCAAGTTTAATATATGAATAATTATTATAATCAATTAATTCTGTACATATTTAAATTTGAATGGATTCGAAGCGGCGATTCTATATTGCTGTAAATGTAAAAAGAGAGTAAAAATTACATTATTTTGTAAACTATTTAATGCAGTTTTATTAAATTTTACTACAAGTTTTGTAATTCTGTAAAATTTTGCATTGATTTCTTTAAAATTTGCATTATCTTTTTATAAATTTTTCAATTATACGGTGCAGAAATGTTTAATTGAAATTGTTAATAAAAAAATAAAGGCTGATCTGAAAAAGTATAGTCTTTTGCAACCCAGTAATTTAAAGCATGAAAAAAAGACATAATACCCTATTTTTTAACTTTGTGGTGTAAACTGTTATAAAATTCTTAGACATTGTACAGTACAGCAAAACATGTAGAGAAAAAACCGGCGTACCTACCAGTGGAAGTGTTGGATGGAATTTTTTTGAAGAGACTAAACCGCAACTTTCCTGCATGATTAAAAAAACGATGTGGCTCCCGTCCCGAGGCGGGACTTAACTTCGATTCCCACTGGTTTGGTTGGTTTATTTTAATTTTATCGTAACATAATAAATCTTAAAATTATGACGTCACTCGGTACCAAACTTAAGTCCCGCCTCGGGACGGGAGCCATAGCGTTAAAAAAAGGGCCAAAAGATTATTTTAATATGGAGGTTATAAGAAAAAAATTAAAACCGTTTTATACCAAGCAGAAAGATATTAATAAAGTTAAGGCTGCTTGTATGATAAAACGAGCAGTTCTGAGGAAACTGCTTATGATTTTTAAAATGTTTCTTTGTCAAGTATAAAATTAATTTGGTTGGTTAAGACATCGTTTTTTTTATTTTGTATGGAATATAAACAAACAAATAAATATGCAAAGTAAAGAAGCATGTGTTATTTTTATATTTTCTTTCAACCCTACTAAGTTCCTCTATCTTATGACCTTGTTAATATAAAAAGGCTTTTTCCTACTCCCATCTTTAAAACGCCCATTATCGTACGTGGCTTTACGGCGTTTTAGTCAGGGGCTGAAGTTAGAAACAGGTTTTTACTCACGGGCTGAAGTTAGCTTTATGTTAGATGGCAGTTATCGAATGTCATACAATCGTTAAAATTAAATGCCCTTCTTCTAAAATAATATTAAATGTGAAAATTATTTTATTATCTCAATACAAAAATATAAAAGCATTAAATAGTTTCTCAACGCCAATATTTGAAAAGTTTATATGAACATTGTACTGACCTTTTAATATCGCCGGCAGTAAACTAGATATAACTTAAAGTCGGGCTCGGACTCCACCGTGAAGTGCTAATAAAACATTTTCTTCACTTTCACTGTGAAAAACTGTTGTTTAATCCATTTATTTATTATCTATGTTTATAACACATTGACATTTGACGGTAATGCAGATTTCCCTATTGTTTAATAGATGGCGCTCTATACAAATACTTAATTTAAATAATTTTTAGATAATAATAAGTATTTGTCGTAGAAAAAGTATAGTATGTAACTCGTTTATAAACTTTTCTAGACACTCAATAATTTAAGCACACGCCAGCAATCTCGCTCGTGCCTAAATTAAATTCGTGTCTAAAATGGCGTTTCTCAAACTTGATACATAATATACTATTGTGGATGTTTACAAATGTAATTTTTAAAACTGGTTTAAGTTGTTGGTATATGCTTTTCTTATAGTTGTTAAAAGATATATTTATTGGATGTCATCATACATAGTAAATCTTCAATGAATGAAGATTCTTCATATATTTATTTTACAATTGTATATGCTTTTCTTATAGTTGCCAAAAGATATATTTATTTGATGTCATCATACATAGTAAATCTTCATATATTTATTTTACAATTGGTTTGAGAAATATTAAGTTTACCTACTACTTCATTAAATTTATTTTTTTAATAAAACAATTTCAAGAACGTCCTTAGAAAAGCAAGTGATCTTTGAAACAAAATAATTGTATTATTTTGTAAACAAACGTATTCATATATAAAGACCATTTTACTGGATTTATGTTATTCACAAATAAATAGAATCAATAAATATCAATAATTTGTTTATAAAGATGTTTAATTTTAACGTTGTGTTTTTAATCGTGCTTTTTGTGTATGGTGTAAATGTAAGTATAATTATGATAATAAATATTTCACCCGAGATTTTTTTATTTCAATATTAACCCAGGCCAACATTTAGCAACCTTATTAAAATATGTTTATAGATAATTAACATTTAAGCGCTAAATTTAAATCTTATCTCAGAATTGCTTCGCCACTTCAGGTTTTTAAGAAATTCTAACCCCTAAGTAAAAAAAAAGGCAATTTTATTACATCACAAAATATTTTTTTCTACAGAACTCCCTATGGCATCCAAAAGTTTTGAAATAGTATATAATAATGCAGGCTATTATTCACAAGGATGAGGTTTGCGAATCGAGTCGCTAGGCGAGAGACTTAAAATCTGACATAGCTGACAGATCTGTCAAATGATAAACCTTACTTTTTACCAATTTTAAATGTTATTATAGTTGCCTTTTCCCAATTTAAAACCCGATTGGTTCAAATCACAGTGAATAAATAAATCGGTTCATCACCGATGCCTAACACCATGAATAATAAGTTCATTATTTCCGTTGTTAGGCAGGACATTTTTAATGTTTATCATTATTTTTGCTGAATAAATTATTATTATTATTCGCGTAAAAAAACAATTTTATACAATATGAGTAAATAAAAGTATATTTCATAATATTATTGTTTTAAACGAATACCAATAATAATAATATTTAGTACCAAAACAAGATAATTATTGTTGTTTTTGTGGGTAAAAATTATTGCTTGCTGTAATCCTTTTTCTGACTAGATTAATGTGAGTTGTTTTGCTATTTTGGTCCTCTAAATGGATTATTTTGTCAGTTTTATGGGTTTTTCTTTCAAATGCTTTTCTTTTATCATTTTTTGTCTTTTTTAACTTTCCGATTTATTCGGATCATCTTTACTCTCTTTTTGATCCGTGTCGTGTTTTTAGACTGAACTATTTTAAATAGTAACATTCAAAAAATGTTTTCTTTAAATTGGCATTATTTGGAATATTTGGTCTTAAAAAATAAATCATCAAGAAATATTATAATTTTAAGTATTTTTTAACAGAAATAAATTTATTTTAACTTAAATTTAATACCTACCTAATATTTTTTATTTTTAAATTTTATTTTTACAAAAAAAATAAGTTGCATTAAAAAAATACAATTAAGGAACTTAATAGATGAACATGTTAAGTAACACTGCCCTCATAAGCACAAATGTGGTTATAACTACAATATTAAACAATAAAGTAGTTAACACCTTTATACTCATCACTTTTCAAATGGCCTTACTAATACTAAGTTACTAATATTATTTTTAATATAGTGTAATGGAGCAACGGATATACAAAAAAAGCTCGTAAGAGCTCATGTGAAAAATTGCATGGCCCAAACAGGAACAACACAGGACATAATGGCAAAAGTGATGTCTGGAGTCATTGTAGAAGATCCCCGTTTCATTAAACTTGTATTTTGCGTTGACAAATTGTCCGGTTTTATAAACGAAGTCGGGGATATTGACAAGGAAGTTTTGGAATTAAAAACAATCCAAGCCATAGGAACTCGGGAAAAGTCAATAGCAATGGCCGAAAAATGTGCACAACAAAAATCCACTCCTGAAGAGTCCGCATATGAATTGTACAAGTGTTATTTACTTGATGGGTTTAATTTATTTGAACCATAATTTAAAAAAAATATGTATGAGTTACTAGTACTAGCATTACTAGTCACAAACGTATATTTTACTAGTCTTAACATTACTTTTTAGGATATGTGCAAACATGTATTTGAAATAAAAAATAAAAATTAAGTTAATAGATTTTTAATCAATCCTTCCAAAAAAGTCTTGCCAATAACTCTTGCTTTAAAAAAATATATAATACGTACTAATAATAATAATATAATTAAGTACCAAATCACAATAATTATTGTTGTTTTTGTGGGTCAAAATTATATCTCTCTGTAATCCTTTTTTTGACTAGATTATTGTAAGGTGTTTGGCCTTCTAAATAGATTATTTTGCCTATTTTAATTTTTTTTATTGAAAGCTTTTCTTTGATTACTTTCTGCCTTTCTTTACTTTCTGATTTATTTGGTCCATCCGGATCATATGTACCCTCGCTTTGTTGCGTGTCGTGTTTTTCGATACTTTACTTTACCATTAAAACATATGTTTTAACATATGGTTTCTTAAAATTGGCATCACCATCCGTTATGTTTATTTAATTAAAAACCAACAATTATTACAAAAGTTTGAGTTGAAATACTAACGGTGACCTAAGGTCTCCACGTACCCCAATATTTCGGGCAAAATAAAAATATAATTATGATCAGAAGATCTCCTTCCTACTGCTTACCAATAACACTTATTGCCGTAACCCCCCTGACTATAAAATATTTACAATATTTAGTAAGTCAAGGGTTAAAATAAATGAAAAGAAGAAGGGTTATTATAAAAATTAAAAAAGAAATCTGAAGGGAATGAGTAGTGCTTTCAGATGGTCTTAATTATTTTGTACAAAGAGAAAAAGCTTTTATATTGTGAATGGTTTAACCATTGAGCCAATGGTATACTGTATTTGCAATACCTGAATTACAGCTATGATCAAATGAATGATTGTCTTACTTTTATTTGTGAAAACCTGCTTAAAATTAGTTCAAACATAAGACATTGAATTAAATTGTGATTAAATCCGTATTAAAACTTAGTTAGTTAAAACATAAGAAATATTGAATAAAATTATTATTTAATTGAAGCCACAATGAATCTTAATGAAAAACTATCATTGGCATAAATAAAGTTATGGTTTCTAATGAATGGCTACATTAAATGCAATCAAAGCTCTATTTCCTTTAAATATGTATATTCTTGTGCAAATATTAGTTGTATAATACATTAATATAAACATTAAATAAAATGAATTCTGGAAACTGTTTCTGGTAGTCTTGTGTACACAGGTTTTTCGATCCATAAAATGAAAGTGATATGTTTTCTATAGGAACTATTAGGAACCCACTAGAAGTGTTGGAGATATTAGGCTCTAAGAAAGTTGCTGACCCATCACTAGCAACATTTACTGTACTGGATGTGCAGGATCTGTCTGCCATGGCACATGGTTATTCTAAAACGATATAGGAATTTCATTTATGTATTTAGAGGCGAATCCTAAAGATTGCCGAAAGTCCTTAAGCAATATATACTTTCAGGACGCCCTGCAAGGATATCATGATGGTACTAAAAGACTATAAGAAGCTTTTTTATAAATAAATAAAAACTTCGTTTATTTAAGCAAAATAGCTATTTTAAGGCATCAAGATAAACTGTGTCCATGGTATATAACTATATGAGTACACATTTACCTTTTTATTATTATTTAGATATAATTGAGTAATTAAATTACTGGAGAATGCATGGCGTATATACAATTAAAAACATGTACAACTTACCTTGAAAATTCGGGATTAGGAAGTACAACCCCCAAGAAATTTGCAAATATAACAAACAACTAAATACTACCTAGCTATTAGCTATTTTAAGGCATCAAGATAAACTGTGTCCACCGTATATAACTATATGAATACACATTTACCTTTTTATTATTATTTAGATATAATTGAGTAATTAAATTACTGGATAATGCATGGCGGATATACAATTAAAAACATGTACAACTTACCTTGAAAATTCGGGATTAGGAAGTACAACCCCCAAGAAATTAGCAAATATAACAAACAACTAAATACTAATCCATCCAGAGATAACCCATACACTTACATCAATCGGCGTCACCGGCGTCAGTTGATCACATTTAACTATAGGCACGTACGCGATTACAGGTTGCCGATTTGAGGTGTGGCAGGGGATGCCCTGGCGCGTTTGTCTGAATTTTAGCAATCATTAAATTGAATATAGGCCGCATTGAAAAAATGGGAATGATAATTGGGAAAATAACAAGAATTTTTCTTACCTTAGTTTCCATTGGAATAAAAATCATAAACATTAAAAGAAACAAAGACTATTCTTATTTCAATTGTTTTTAATTTTTGGTTGAAGCATTATAACTTTTAATAAAAATCAATGTTATATTTAATTAAATATTGTTAATTTTAACTTAACGGCCATTTCAAGCGGATGGACGGGACAAATCATAAAATTGTTTTTATAAAAAAATTTGTAGGTAATTTATTATATATTATTTTTGCATCAAAATTGTCAAATATATTCTTCTATTATTAGGCTATACATTAAATAAAAAAATCGCAAGAAATATTTTATAAAAGTAGAGATAATTTCAATAATTGACAGGGGATGGACGGGACAAAATAAATCTTTTTTTGTCCCGTCCACACCTTTCAATTATTAAAATTATATCTACTTTTATAAAATATTTCTTGCGTTTTTTTTTATTTAATGTATAACCTAATAAAAGAAGAATATTTTTGACAATTTTGATGCCAAAATATTATATAATAAATAATCTACAATTTTTTTTATAAAAACAGTTTTGTAATTCGTGCGTTTCGCGCGCTTGAAATGGACGTTAATCAGATAAACTTTGAATTCAATCATTTCTAAAATTTTCAAGGAAGTACACATTTCCATTGACTTTAAATCTAAAGAGCCATTCACTCTATAACAAGTAATTTTAATTCGTTTTAATTTATATAATCCCAATATTTAATATTAACACTGTTAGATTAGAATTTATCTAAAACCAAATTTGGATTAAACACTCCTAAAACCTTTGAAAAAGTAAAGTCCGATCTAAAATTTAAAAAAATGTTGACCTGTGTTTTTCAAATAATTAATTATTTCCAAACCTCTGGAATATTTGGTCTTAAAAAATATATAGTCAAGAAAAATTATAATTATAAGTATTTTTAAGGGAAATTACTTTATTTTAGCTTAAATTTAATACCTATTATTTTTTGTTTGTTAAATTTTATTTTTACAAAAAAATAGATTTATTAACTTTAAGATTTTTAATCAATCTTTCACAATAGTCTTGCCAATAATTGTTGCTTCAGTAAAAAATATTGTGGTAATTAATATTCTACACTTTTATGGTTACTGTTTTATTTTTTCTGTATACGTATAGTATTTTAATTAAAACTAATTTCTTTAATATACCTACGTTTGCCATAATTTTATAATTGGAATATATATATAGTAAATAATTATTAGTTCAATTTATAACTAAAAATTATTGCAGATGAATAAATATATATAAATCGTTTTGCGTAACTTAGTTTATTTGTAAATATATTTTTCCAACAAATTTTCAATAATCATAACGGTTTTTAAAGATGTTTATAATAAGAGTTAACATTACATTTTTAATGGTACTTTTTGTTTATAGTGTAAATGTAAGTATATATTTTATTAATTTATTAATTACAAAAATATAGGACTGAATTATAAATTATAAAGTTTTAAAATTCATTTTGTTTTTATGGGGCCAGCTCTTTAAAGCGTAGCTAAAATGATTAATGCCTTATTTTTAAAACTCTTGCAGTGTAAACCAGGCCTAACAGTTGAAGAATTCTCAGACATAGTCCAGTACAGCAAAACATGTAGAGAACAAACAGGCGTACCAGTGGAAATGATGCCAAAAGTCTTGGTTGGATTTTTCGAAGACGATCCAAGACTAAAAGCCCAACTTTTCTGCATGATTAAGAAAATGGGCTTGCAAGAAGATAATGGAGATTTTAATATAAAGGGAATAAGACAAAAATTGAAATCCTTTTATACCGAGCAGAAAGATATGGATGAGGTAGAGGCTACTTGTGTAATTAAAAAGAGTACTCCTGAAGACACTGCTTATGATCTTTTAAAATGTTTCTTTAACAAGTATGGAATTAATTTGGTTGGTTAAAATATTGTTGTTTTTTAATATTGTATTGATAAAACCAATAAATATACAAAATAATGGAGCATGTGTTATTTTTTACCTGTTCTTTTTATCCTACCATGATCCTATATAATATGCCCTTGTTGATATGAAAGGGCTTAGGTAGATTAGTTTTAAAATATAATTTTCCAAAGTGGTTTAATTTATTTGTATACGCTCTTCCTATAGTTGCCAAATTGATTTTTTATAAGCAAGTGTTTAATAAAAACGAGAGTCTAGAGAAGTCTACAAAACGAGTTGCAAACTATACTTTAACAAACACAACCAAGAATTTAAAGCCAATTTTATTTGTTTAACATTTGACATCTGTGAAATGTCGGATTTAACCTCACTTTTCCCCAATTTGTAATAAAGCTAACTTCAGCCCGTGACTAAAATGGACAAATGCCACTATTGCTAACTCACAGATAATCAATGTAGATGTAAATAAAATAGTTTTTATTACCACCATGTGGAATTAATTAATTAAAGCAATGGGTCTCTCCTTTTTATTTGTTTATCTCGCTTATCCTTTGCGTTAGACAATTTTAATTTTCAAATATGTGTTTCACGTTACTTTGGCACGTTCCGGTTTTCTATGTGGCGCGAGTTCTGGGACACCCTGTATATATATATATATATATATATATTAGGGTGTCCCAAAAAAAAATATTTATATGCATATTTTTTTTCTTCTCGTCTCTTGTGAAAATATGTTGGTTTGTCATGTTTTAAGAGCCCTGTCAAAAGATCAGCACCATTAAAAAATTTGTAGGGGTCGCTCAAGATTTTTAAAAATTACCAAAATCGTCAAACATTGGATTTTTTTTTATTTTAATTTTTTTCTCTTTCCGATATTATTTTTTAATTTAAAAATAATAATGATTCTGAAAATTTCAAATCGATATTTTAATTTCTAAAGGTCGCTCAAGATTTTTTTAAATTTCAAAGTAGAGTATTTTGAATGTTTTCGAGCGACCTCTGCATATAAATATCAACCAACTTTTAGCGACCTTTAGAAATCAAAATATTGATTTAAAATTTACAGAATTTTTATTATTTTCAACCTAAAAAATAATATCGAGACGAGAAAAAGAATTAAAATAAAACAAAAATTCAATTTTTGACCATTTTGAAAATTTTTAAAAATCTTGAGCGACCCCTACAAAATTTTTAATCGAGCTGATATTTTGAAAGGACTCTCACAGCATGATAAACTAACATATTTTTACAAGGGACAAGAAAAAAAAATATATTCTTTTTTTTTTGGGACACCCTAATATATATATTTATATTTATTGCAGGACTTCGTTCATATTTGAAGCTCAACAGTTGTCAGTTCATGGCAACTGTAGTTCGAATGAACTAACACCGTATATAGTGCGTTTTTTATAAATATGACATTGAGTTAAATATATCTGTTTTATTTTGTTATTTCAATAATAAATCAAATTATTATTATCTTCTATGAAATTTCTAATTCGAATTATATATTTCTCCTATGATATTTTTAATTCGAATTATACATTTCTTCTATGATATTTTTAATTAGAATTATAAATTTCTCCTATGACATTTTATCTACTGTGATATTTTTAATTCAGAGAATTAAAAATGTCACTTCAACATTAAAATTTACTGCATTTTTTTAATTTGTCCTATGATATTTTTAATGCAATGAATTAAATTTATGACTTGGTAACTTTTATTTATAATAAATATCACATTTGCAACTTTGGTTTGAGATATCTGAAATTGATTTAGAGCAGTGGCGTAGCGTAGTGGGGGCGGCAGGGGCGTCCCGCCCCGGGCGGCACTTTTTATGGGGCGGCAAAATTTCACAATAAATATTAAAAATATTTTAACCATTTCATATTTTTATCTCAACTACAAATTCGGACCGTTTCAAAAGAGCACGGAATTTTATTAGTACTTATATAATTTTTCATTAAAAAAATAAAAATTACACAATAGCATATATGCATATATAGTTCTAGTTTTTATTAAAAATTAAATTGGGTTTTATATTTAATTCGCTAATTATTTAATCTTGTCGATCGTCAATTTGTACCTAATCTTAAGTCTTCTCTAGAATTAATGTATGTAATGTATACATTAAATTGAAATACCTAAATAAAAAGGCGGCAAAATTGTTTTCCTCCCCGGGCGGCCGACAACCACGCTACGCCACTGATTTGGAGATACCTGAAATTAATTTTACATATCTGAAATTAATTTCAAGTATCTGAAATTGATTTAGAGATATCTGAAATTAATTTTAAGAGTGGTGATTATTTTCTTGTTATTAAACATAAAAAATGTGTCTCAAAAAACGTTTTTCAATTTTCAAAATAAAAATACTTTGACGTCTACTTAGATAAAAATTGAAGACTTTAAACATTTATTTTATAATTAGTGTAAAAAATATTAATTATACCTACTAACTAATTAAATTTATTTTTTAACGAAAAATTTCTAGAACGTGCTAATTAGAGTAAAAAAATTGATCTTTGAAACTAAATGTTTTATTAGTATGTAAACAAACTCATATATAAATACCCTCTTACTTGATTTATGTTATTCACAAATTAGTTTTAATAGAATTAATAAATATTAATTATTTTGTTTTAAAGATGTTTAATTTTAACGTTTTGTTTTTAATTGTGCTTTTTGTGTATGGTGCAAATGTAAGTATAATTATAATAAGAAATATTTCACATTAAGATGTTTTTATTCCAAAAATAACCCAGGTTCTGCAAAATTTAATTAACCATCTATGCATGAAGTACTGCATTAAAATGAAATAGTCAAAATTCTACTATTTAAATTAGTACCAGCATTGTTTACTAATAATTTATTAGTGATAAAAAGTCGTTTTCACTCTTAAATAGTTATTTTTACTAATTAAATAGTTAAAGTTTAACTAATTCAAGATAAGTCACCATTTTTACTGTTTCTGAGAGTAAAAAGTAACTAATTTATTAAATCGTTCTATCTAAAAATGAATTAGTCAAAAATGACTAATTGTCATAGCAAAAAAGCAGCCACTAATATTTCTCGTTAACATCAAATGTCGTCAAAAGTTATAAAAGTAGAACAGTTTTTAAGATATAGTGTATTTTTCATAAAATATGGAATTGACTATATCTTAAAAACTGCTCTATTGCTTTACAGCCAACCCCATCACCACATTGCGGCCTTGTACAATATTCTCTTTTTACATTTTACATTGTATTTTATTTAATTGGAAAATATATTGATTTTGATTTGCTTGACAAGCGGTAGACCCGAGTTCAAACCCTGGCTGTGTCAAAAATTTTTAAAATAAAATCAACTTATTTGACTATTTCATTAGGTTGAATTTGACTAATTATTAGTGAGTGCTTTTTTGCTATGTCATTTTTGACTAATTCATTTAAGAGATTTAAACCAAAAGTATGAAAAACGAGAATTATAACATTACAAAATATTTTTTTCATAGAACAGCCATCTAAAAGTCCTACTCTTCTTTTCAAAATCCCTTTTAAATTTATCCAAAATATTTTTCCTCTCCGTGAAAACCGTGAAGTGTATAAAGCGATAAATCAAATTTTTACTATTAAAAACAAAACCATAAAAATTTCTCCAAGAGGGAAAAGCATATTAAAATAATATAAAAAAGGTTTTAAAGGGGAAGACTAGTAATTTTAGATGGCATAACGAGTTGTATGTAAAAAAATACCTTATTAATTCAAATTTAAAACTCATTGATTCCTCTTATGGGTTAGAATATTTTTAAAACCTGATGTGTCAAATTTGGCTTCAGCACAGAAACCTTTTAAAAATTTAAATTTGCTTTAGTAGGCCTGTGTAATTTAAGTTGTTCAGTATTAACTAAAAATTTGAATAAAATCATGTTGCATTAATTTTTTTTATGTGTAGTGTGTTGGACCAACTAATATTCAAAAAAAAATCTTAAGTGCTCATATACAAAACTGCATGGCTCAAACAGGAACAACGGAGGCCATGCTTGCAAAAGTAAAGTCTGGAGTCATGGTGGATGATCCCAATTTTATAAAATTTATATTTTGCGTTGAAAAATTGTCCGGTTTAATAAACGAAAACGGAGATATTTACAAGGAAGCTTTAGAAATAAAAACAACCATAAGCATAGGATCTCTGGAAAAAACTATAGCGATGGCCGACAAATGTTCACAATACAAATCCACTCCTGAAGAAACCGCATATGAACTGTACAAATGTTACATGCTTGATGGGTACAATTTGTTTGAACAATAATATAAACAAAATTATGTGTTTTTATCTATATAATTATTAGGTGATATTTTTAATATATTTACACAAGCATATATTGTCCTATTAGAAAATAAATAGGCACAAACATGTATTTTGAATTAAAAATATAAATAAAGTTAATATGTTTTTAATCAATCCTATTAATATACTATTAATTTTTTTACCAAAGTAAATTTATTCATCTCAATATCAAATTAACCAATGATGGTTGGTTACAAAACTTATTTATTTTTCATTTTTTTGGTAAAAATGATATGACTTAATTTTTTCCTTCTACATAAATCTGTTTATATTCATAATTTAGGGGTATTAAATAAAATTAAAGTCTAATTTTTAGGTTTTTAACTAATTATATTATTCAACAAACATGTATAACTCGACTATTTCTGTAGGTACATATTTCTAAACTTCACATTGTATATATATTTATTGATAACAAATGTATACAATTTTAGGACCCAAGAAAAGAAATTTGAAAAATTTTGTATTTTTTCGTAAGTAATATCATAAGGGCATCTAATTTTTCCGAAAAGAATCGAAAAAACACGTTGCTAAGTAATATTTTAACAAAAAGCATGAGTGCTGGTGGCAACAAAAATCCGAGTCGAAGAGGAGGATTTTTGCACCTGCACGAATGCATTTTGTTAAAAAATATTACTTAGCATTGTGTTTTTTCGATTTTTTTCACAGGAAAAATTAGATGCCCGAATGGTATTTGACAAGACTATTTCATGAGTAACAGTTAACAATTAAAATATAAATTGCAATTGTTGGTGACAACTGCTGTCAAGTTTTGCCGCGGGTAAACTCGAATAAACTGCTGACAGGTGCTGTCAGACAGTTTTTTCACCTAGAAACCATTTGTAATTCAAAATTGCGCGTTTGTGATTGGTGGAAATTAAGACGAGGGAAATAGTCTTGCTAAATTTAAATCAAACACCCATTTCTCGTCATGCAGTAAGATTAAACTATTTTTGCAATTTACGTTGGAATTTACTACATTAGTATAATGTTGATACTTTGGTAATTTTCTTTTGTTTTTATTTTTTATAAAAAAAGATAATTTCTTAAAAATTATATTTATCACTACCACAGCAACTACCATTAACAATTTACTAACTTAATTTTTCTTCATTTACTTTTTAATCTCTAACAAACACTTCATTAACTCAACAGCTGTATCTGTAGGCGTATTCATATCCTTTCCACAGTTATCCACTACCTTGTCGACTCTAGCCTCACTTCCAGCAAGTTCTATAAGGATAGATTCCATAGCATTAGCATCAATTTTACCGAATTGATTGATAAAGCCAATCTTTTGGGCAAACCATAAAATATGTTCTTTTAATTTTGGATCGTCCGAGAATTTTCCTATCAAACCTTCAACCAGCGATAAATACTTGGAATCTTTTACGCAATCTACGTGAAAGACTAATACTTTTTCTCTGTTAAAAGCCTTAAAAATAATAATTAAAAAAAAAACAATTAAAAAGAATTTGTAGATTTTTTTAGTTACTGGTTCATATAAAAATATCAAAAAATACTTACAGCTGCATTAGCTGCAGTTACAGCTATCAAAAATAATACAACTAATTTCATTTTGTTGGTTAATCTTTTAAACTTACAAGTTTACAATAATATAATAATGATTCTTCTGTATTATATGTATATGTATATATATATATATCTTAAAATAATTACTATGTATTTATGTTAATAAATATATAACTTAGTGGGTAAGGTTAAGGTTGCAACAATTAGACAATTGTTATGATGGAAGATTCATAATTATAAATTTAAAAAGTATTATTATATTAATTACAAATTTAATATTAATACAATAATTATTATTTTTGTTATTTGTAAATCCGGGAGTTTTTATAAAAAAATAAAATAATTGCGGATTTCTTTATTACCATACTGTAATAATTATGTTATTTTTTATATATATTTTTTTAAGTTTTAATACGTTTTAAAAATGTCTAATATATTTCACAAATGTACCACCAAAAAATGTTAACTATTAATCCTGTAAATGTTAACTATTAATCCTGTAAAGGAATTTACAGTTTTCCTTTGACGAAAAAACAATATTTTATAAATAAAATTTACATATGTATTTAAAAAGTTGATTTTTCTAGCTTTTTTCACGTTTTTCAATTAGGCAAATTGCTTTTGTTTTAGTTACAAGAAAATCTAAAATTTTTATATTTTTAAATTATTTTTTATTTATAAAAAACATTTTTTAAAAATTACATTTAAGCTCATTACAAAGCTCGATTATATGTTTAATAATGGAGTGGAAATTGTTTTGCAGATTTTTAAATTTCTGATGAGCTAAAGCTTATGTGCAGTAGTGTGTTATCTGTCATCTTTCATCAAGCAATCTGAGCAATTTGATAGGTGTCAAGATGACAGATGACACTTCTGTACTTTAGCTTGTCAAATACTTAAATAAAAACCTCTAAAACAATGTCCATCTCATTATTAAACACATTAAAAACAATACCGCAGGTTAGTCATGGATTAGATATTTTATGCTTATTATTCTGTGATTTATTAATTGCTATGAAAATTAAGGTTAAGTTTACATTACTAACAACTGCAGAATAAAACCTTAAATTGCAATATAAATTATTATTCTACAATTATTTTTAAAATTTTTGCAAATAGAAAATTTAAAAAGTATAACCCATCTTCTTTGTTGTGAGAAAATGACATCAATATCATGTCATTCTTAAAAATAATATTATCTTTGTTTTTAAGAACATTTAACAAGGGTTTGGACAAGTACTCTTAGAGTTTTCTTATAAATTTTGCTAATAATTAAAGTTTAATATTAAAATAGCATTATTAATAGCCATACATTTTTACTTTTTTATTAATTTCCTAAAACCTACCGCAGGAAATCGTTATCTTATAATTAATGTTTATTTATTATGTCACACCAATTTGGTGCTAATTTTCGAGGCAAAACCTAAAATTACTTTAATTAATATTTGAAAATTTTGAGTCATCCTTATTTCAAATCATTGAAGTGAGTCCCACATTAATTTGAATAATTGTTATTACAGCCTTACGTGGTAATTTACTTGATTATAATTTCAAATTTGTTTGAAGATTCGCGAATATATAATACAGTTGAATTATGGGATTATTCAGTAGAAACCAAAAAGTACCAAAGTATACAACCAAAAATGAAATTCATTATCTTGTGTTTTGCTGTAGTAGCAACAGTGTATGCTGGTGTAAGTATATTTATTTTTAAATGCATTATTTTGGACCCAAGCAGCTTAAAGGCAAAAAACTATTATGGCGCTGATCACCCATTAAGTCCGTTCTATTAGGTCAGTTAATGGGGCCTTAAAAAATGCTCTAACATAATCCAAAAGTAAAAAAACACAGTATTTTTTTAAATTTGAGGTAATCTTACGTTACTGAGCATTTTTTTCCTCAAATATCCTTTTTCCTCTTCAAGAAATCTATGAAATTTATTAGTTTGGTTTGGGTAAAAATTCCTCTTGGGTCCAAAAGTTGTAAACTTTTTTGTTTAAAATCTTTGTTTAAAATCTCAGGTTCTTACGGACGAACAACGCCATAAACTCCTGAGCTTTCATAACGAATGCGCTAAAGAAACAGGCGTTAATGAGGATCTCATCGGTGAAGCTATGATGGGTAACTTCTCCGATGACCCAACATTTAAAGACCAGATTTTGTGTTTCTCCAAAAAAATCGGCTTCCTCGATGCATCCGGTAAAATTGATGTGGAAACAATGAAAAATAAATTTAAAATGATGCATGATCATGACGATGAGAAAATCGATGAAGTGGTCGAGAAATGTGGAAAAGATATGGACACCCCTGAAGATACAGCTGTTGAGTTAATGAAGTGTTTGTTTGAGGTTAAAAAGGAAATGAAGAAAAATTAAGTTAGTAAATTGTTAATGGTAGTTGCTGTGGTAGTAATAAATACAATTAAAAAAAAAATTGTCTTTTTCTATAAAAAATATAAACTAAAGAAAATTACCAAAGTACCAAAATTATACTAGGTATAATGTGGTAAATTCCAACTTATATTGCAAAAATAATTTTATCTTACTGCATGACGAGAAATGGGTGTATGATTTAAATTCAGCGAGCGAAAATACAAAATTTTTCAAATTTCTTTTCTTGGGTCAATAAATATTGTTTAAAATCTTCTTACTGAAGTGTTTTTTTAAGGCTAAAAAGAAAATGAAACAAAAATAATGTTTTTGATTGTTAACAGTAACGGTTATTGTAGTAATAAATATAATTTTAAAAACATTTTTCGCAGAATGGTCAAAATTTTACTGTATTGTCATGGTATTAAATTACTTATTTTACCTCTGACTAGAGCCATTAATATAAGTATTTTTACTGCCGCTCAAAGATAAGTGATTTTAATTAATTAAATAGCTTTTATAGCATAATTTTATTTATTGTTTGTGTGGACAATAAATGAACAATTATATATTATCGCAACTTCAAATTAAAGATACATGAAGTCAAAGTGGAATTTACTCTTGCGCTTATGAACGCTTTTTCTATGGAATATTGCCCTCGATTTTTTGTAAACATTTGTAGACAGGTCTAAAGCTGTTTCTTCGTAATTTTTGCTACGTTTAGGAATTTTGATATTATTTTCATCTCATAATCATTCTTATTAGATATGGATTCCTTCTGCTACACTACTAGATTTCCATGGAAGAACATTTGCTATAATTATTATAGATGGAGGGGCTGACGTCACCTGTTTTAAACAAGAATTATAGCAAATGTTCTTCTTAAGCAATTTTCGATTTAGTAATTTCAAAAATTGAGACAGATCTTTAGGCACACGACCTATTGTATGGACTTTCATAAAAGAACTTTAACATTTTGCATTTTAATATTTAAAACATCATGGTTTGTGTTTCATAATAATAATAATAATAATAATAATAATAATAATAATAATAATAATAATAATAATAATAATAATAATAATAATAATAATAATAATAATAATAATGATAACAATAATAATAATATTAATAATAAATTATAAAAATAAGAAATAAAAAAACCGATTTAAAAACCACAACTTTGCAAACCTTTGCTTCGACCTATGCACTCCGATAAATTTAAAACTGTTTAAAACTGTGTGTTTTTTTGTAAGCGGAGCTATGATGCCGACGTTCTTTTTTCTGTTACAAAAATATTGTATTGAATAAATTAAGACCGACAGCAACTCGACCTGCTGGAGAGATGACAATTTTAAACCTGGATTGGCCCGCCTATTTTTCCTTTTTCTTTAATAATGTTCCTCCGTGGAAAATATTACCTTTTTAATCCCTGTTAACATTGTCACGCTTTAAAAAAGCTGAAGTTAGCCATACCCTATTAAAACAAGAATTTTACCGTATTGTTGATACCCAACATATACACAAATATTTACTGATGGCTCCAAAACTCCGAATGGAGTTAGCAGCGCATTGTATGCTTTGGGCAATTTATATTCTTAGCGTGGATTTTTCCCATTAAGACTTTGCCTACACATTTTCAAAAGGAATATTAGGCCGCTGGCTATCCGATTGACTTTTCACAGGTAGTAAGCTTGTCAAACTAAAAAACTCAAATGAAAAATGGATTCTTCCCATTAAGTTAAGTAGAAGACAACAAGTGGCACTTACCAGACTAAGAATAGGCCATACAAACCTTACCTCAGTCCATCTGTTAGAAGGAAAGCGGCCCCCCAAATGCAATGCCTGTGATGTCTTTCTCTCCATAGAACATATTTTTAACGATTGTCCGTTATACGAAGACACGCGCGAACTGATAGAACTAAATCCCCTTAACTCGGTCTGTTGGGAGGATCCAAGGGAAATTCTTAAAATATTGTTCTTTCTAAAAGAAACAAATCTAATGTTAAGATTATAATTTTTGTAAAGCCTTACCTACCTGTGATATCTATTTCAACTCCACCCTATTATATAAGATCACTTACTATACCTACCCTTTTCTGATCTGTACATGAAGAATGCCCAAATAATTTGACATGTTGTGATTAGCCGGGCTAATGACCATAAGTTGTCAATGCCCATTAAAAAAATAATAATAATGATAACAATAATACCTAATTATCTTTATTTTCCGGTTTTATATATAAATTATGGCTTGAATGCTACTTCTTCAAAATTTGAACACATTTAATGTGCCCGTATTTTCATGAATTTGCTGATATTTTAATGTTTAATATTAAGTACTGATATTATCATTGAATATTGTGACCACATTGTCGAATATTTTATTATTCTGTCGGTTGTGACAATTTTAAAATTTTTTATGGCTGCTGCATAATGAAATCTTTGTCTGACATTATTAATGGTGCAAGAACTAAGTTTTAGTAAAAAAAATCAATAAACCTTAAAAAAATACAAAACCACAAAAAATCCACCACCAAACAAAATATCACACCAAATTAAAAATTATATTTCTATTATATTCTATATTCTATATTTATATTTCTATAGTAAACCTTCACACCTACTTAATTTTTATCTGTGATCCAGATCATTTAGCATTTGATTTCTTTCACAAAAAATTAAATATTTTTTGTATTTGACGTTTGTAAAAAAAATGTGGTAAGTAAAGTGATTTTATGTGGCTCGTCTATATTTGCTCGGCCGTCGAACCCTACAGACTCGCCACAAAAAGGAAGACTTTAGCTCCTTATAAAATAATGTACTATATTTAAAAAATATATATGGACCAAAAAAATTACCAAAGAGCCTACTTAAAATATAGAACTAAAATATAGAAAATTCTAACGTTTGTGGCTAAAATAGGCAAATAGTAAACATCCCAAAATTTATTTTATTATAGATAAAAAATCAACATTATTATGTACATTATGCATTAACAAAAGGATTTTTATAGAGATATAATATAATAATAATTATTATTACTTTATTTCAAACAATAGTCAAAAATATAGATTATTTTGGGAGACATGCACCATTTCATAGATTTTTATTTAATATAGTAATTACAGGTAATTTACCATAACAAAGGTATAAATAGAACTTTATTTTATAAATAATATATAACTGAATCCACTGCAAAAATGAAGATTTTAGTGCTACTTTGTTTTGTTGTTGTTGGTGTAGTAACTGGAAAGGTAATTTTTTAGTTTTATTTTTTAATTAAGGTTAAAATTTAGATTAGTGTGTATTTTTTTAATTTTAAGTAATAATTTTCTTTTAAACTCTTGGATTTTCTTAAAACTTGAAATATTTCATTACTATTTTAAAGGGAAAAATCAATGAAGAAGACATGGCAAAATTGTTAAAATTGTCTGAAGAATGTAAGAAAGAAACCGGCATTGATGAAACAATTAGTAAAAAAGCCAGAATGGGCGAATTTGTGGAGGATGCAAAATTAAAAGAACAAATTTTTTGTGTCAACAAAAAATCTAAAATCCAGGACGAAAGTGGAAAATTTTTGATCGAGAACATAAAAAGTTATATAAATAAATATACAAACAGTATGGACAAAACGAATGAAATAGTTGAAAAGTGTTTTAAGGAAAAGGATACAGCACAACAATCTGCATTTGAAGCTGCTAAATGCATGCACCCTATGGTTGCATAAATACCTAACATATAACAATATATTTTAATATCGTTGAAATTGTTTTATTATTTCATATTAAGTTTTATTTAAACTTATCTCGTTTATACAATTTTTTAGTTTTGCAATATAAAGCACCATTTTCAATTGAACTAAACGTGGTTTTAGTACTCTCTTAAAATGAATTAGTCAAAAATAACTAATTATAAGTCATATTTGTCTTAGCGAAGTTAGTCACTAATAATTAGTCAAATTCTACAGAATGAAATAGTAAAATTAGAAGATTTAAATTTAAAAAAAGTTATGACCCAGCCGGGGTTTGAACTCGGGTCTGTTGCTTCTCAAGCTTGTCAAGCTTATGTCATAACAAATGAGCCATCAGTCACTTTTATAAAAACAATTTTATTTGTCTTTAAATATTGCTCATAATATTTTAAAGCTAAATATATTTTTTGTGTTGCTGTTTTGAGCTAAACGTTTTGCATCTTTATTTGTTTTTATGGACCATTCATCCATGGAGCCTATATGCATTTAACTAAAAAAATAATTTGCTGTTGGCCGCAAACGATTAAAGAAATTAGTTACTTTTAACTTTTAAGCCTCATTCAGAACCTCGTAATTAGTGGAAAAAATTACTGGTTTCAATTATACTTATAATTAACACAAAACGATCATTCACAATAGGCAAAATTAACATCTAAAATTAAGGGAATTTGCTAAAAGGTTGTCCATTTTTCTTATTATTATTATTATTATTGATAATTAAAAAAAAATTAAATAATTGAATTCGTCTTTTAATAATGAATTTAAAAATATAAAAAAACATGTTTTGATTTTTGCTTGTAACAAAAGAATTTTTTTAAAAGTTCTTCATGAACCAAAAGAATGACACAATTTTATTAAAAATAAAAGTTTGGTCATACAAACTTTACTCCATATGAAAAAATAGTTTTTAATATATGGACCCCAGAGCTAATTTGTATTAAGTACATTTTTTTAAATCACGTACACGTACAGATATAATACTTTGTAATTTAACGAGTTTTGACCTAGAACTGATGAATTTATCGATGGATTTTTTACTTAAATCTTTTTTCGAATGACACGCATGATTTATCTACGGTACATTTAGATCTAAAAAACGTAAACCTATTTATGCTCATCTCTTGGATAAATAAAATTATAAACTATTTTTTCCCAATTTTATAAAATAATAGATTTTTTCCAACAATAATAAAAAATTAATAAACCATCCTAATATGATTGAACAACAAATAAATCCAATAATAAAGTGATATTTAAGTGATATTTTTCTAATTCAAACCCTTTATAAATTTTATTTTTAAAAAAAATTATTCAATAAACACAACTTTATGCTTGGGATTTTTTTCATAGATGCACTTGAAAGTCTGGTAAGCCGTCTCCTCGGGACTGGAACGATGCTTGGCACATTTTTTAGTTAAATCGGCAGCTAGATCCTTGTCTCCGAGAATTTCTATTAGATTTTCTATCGCAATCAACTTTTCAATTTCCCCGGTGATATTCTGTAGCCCCACTTTTTTGGATACACAGTAAACAAACGATTTAAATTTGATTTCATCCGAAAATATACCTTCTTTAGCCTTGTCAATGAGAGTTTGATCAACTCCTGAATCTTCCTTGCATTTTTTGTTAAACGATGGAATTGTGTTGACTTCTTTTATCGGCTTTGACTAAAATGTAAGATTTATTTTACCACAAATTCAAAATATTAATTACGCAGATCTACAAATGTTTTTAAAAAGAAACAAAACTATATTTTTTAAGGATTTTGACCTTCTGGATCGGAAATCCACCTCCTTACTTCATTATAATATTTGAGGTTAACAACAAGGTAATTTTTTCTTACAAAACATGTTACGTTATCTAAAAGTACTACTCTTTTCGTTTAAAGTTCATTTTGAATTATTTTAATATGGTTATTAATTTGCTGAAATTTATGAGATTGCTTTAATTAAAGTTTGATTTATCGTTTCGTTAATAAATTTTAAGCGAAAAAATATTGGAAAAATAAAAAAAAACAAAGAAAAGTAATAAACTTTGAGAAGGCATAACGAGTAATTATTTTAATATGGATATTAATTTGTTAAAATTTATGAGATTGCTTTAATTAAAGTTTTATTTATCGTTTCGTTAATAAATTTTAAGCGAAAAAATATTGGAAAAATAAAAAAAACAAAGAAAAGTAATAAACTTTGAGAAGGCATAACGAGTTATATAAATAAATATGTATTGATCAACCAAAACGCGTTTTCAATCAAATTCAAGTTTAGCGCATCAAAAACATTTAAAAAAGATATTATTATTATCTAAATTCAACAATAGAATGCTGTGTTATTTAAACTTAAATAATTGGTTACTTAAGGTAGTTGTCGTGGTACAATATTGTCAAAATTTTTTAGATTATACGCATCAAAGTATACGAGCTTGTAGCTAAGTGATTCATAATTTGTTCGCAAGACTGTACCCTGGAGACGTTACCATTACGTAATACTTTCAAATATTTTCATAAGTTTTAATCCGGCAACGTCGCTTATGCTTAACCAATAGATATATTGGAGACTGAATCAGCCCGTTTCAATTTACTGCGGAAATAATATCTATACTCGCGTACAGCGTTGCCAAGTTGTTTTTATCTGACACTAGTGATGTATACATTTTACAAATTGTTGAACTTTAAACGGTTATTTATAAACAATTGGACGGTCAAAAATGTTTAGTTAATTTTTTTTAAACTCAGCAAAAATACATTAAAACACTGTTAGTTTTTTGAAAATTTCTGACAGTTAGTTTTCTCTGTATAACTAAGAAACTGGTACAGAACTACAGAAAGCCTATACAATCCATGTTAATTATCCAATTTTTAATTGAATTTATCTCGGGTTATAGACCGTCAATCGACTTCAAATTTTAAGGATATATGTATTGTCATGTCCTTAATAAGTATACAAAAATTTAAAATTTTCTGATGGTATGCTTACAGCACGACAACTACCTTAATTGATTCTATAACAACCTTCATAAAATATATTTCAAATTATGTATTTTATAATTACCTCTACTAAAACACTTATTAAAAGTAATGTAACTAAAAATATATTCTTCGTCATATTATTCATTGTTAATGCAGGGAGAAACTACTTCTCTAAATATATTCTTAAGCTTATATATGTATACATACCTGCAGGTCAATTATAAAATATTCATTTTTTATTAAGAATGCATTAGCATATTCTTTTTATTCAAGGACGTTTTTTTGCAAAAATTTGCTAAAGAAGTTCTTGTTATCAGTATATTCTAATGTCGATTGTAGTAATCAGCTAATATATTTTTAATTTTAACTTTTTTACCTACTACTTTCACATTTTTGTCCATACTGTTTTATATTGAAGTGAAGTGTTAAAAAAAACAGTTCGGTTCAGTCTTTCAACCTTTCAACGTTCTGATTAGGCGTCCACTTTCTTTTTAGTCAATTTTTTAATAATTTTTTCTTTATATAACATTTATTTAAATTTGTACCTTAAACCTTCACATCCCAAATTTAATAAAAAGTTTCTGAAACGGCGACATCAAACGTAAACTAAAAAGAGCAGTATTTTGTTGTTGATGATTAATGTCTTCTATTTAAACTTTAATAAAATACTGTTGGTTGGGACTGCCTGCAAGCAAACTTTGTTCGTATTGCAGTAATCTGGATAGACATCACGACCACAACTTGAAGAACAATTACAATTACTCCGCTGGTTGTTCCGAGCCATACGAAATGTAAATATTCAATGTCTCAGCCGGAAACCTGCAATTTTCAATTCGAATGTTTTTCTTGTAAACACGGCCAAACAAATTGGAAATACCTTTTGGACATCTTAAATCGGTTTACAAAGAATCTATTGCAATTTTTAAATTCAGGAATAAAAAAAAACAAATTTAAATTAAATAAATATTTATTAAAATAAAACCATTTAAAGTACGTTGACGTGTTCCTTGGAGTTTTCATAACAGCATTTCATCAAAGAGTAGGTGGTCTGCTCTGGTGTGGCTTCTTGTTTGTTGCATTTTTCTACGATGGCCTTGGCTTCTTCTTCGTTTTCCAAAAAGTTGGTAACTTTCATAAGGAAAACGTCCTTTTGGATTTCACCGGCTTCGTTTTGGAGTCCCATTTTTTTGGATACGCAGTAGAAGAAAGCCTTGGCTTTTGGATCTTCACGGTACTTTCCGGCTTTAGCGTCATCGATGGAGATTTGTTCTACTCCTGAGCTTTCCTTGCAGTCTTTGTAGTAGGAGGCGAGTTTTTGTTTTTGCTCGTCGGTCAGTTTTCCAGCCTGAAGTTAAATATAAAAATTGATGAAATTATATTGTCAAAAATCATTGTTTAGTATTAATAAAATAATAATTAAATAAATAATAATAATGTTTATTTCAAAAAAATTTGCATTAAAAAGAAATTTATTACTTAATGATTAAAAAAATTCCTGTAAATAAATATGGTTTACTATGTTATAAATTCCAGTTTTATTCCTATTAAAATTTTTTTCATTTTAAATATGCGTTGGTAATCTATTAAAACATACACTCGCCGAATAGTAACTGTTTTCAAAAATACTTAATCTACGCTTAGGATAGTTCTAGCCGGAAGATCTAGCTAGTAATGGTGTTTCAATCCGTCTTAAGTTTTTTTTAATTTTTTGTGCAAATACTAAAAGTTTATAAATATATAAACCAGTAGTGGTTAAAGTACTATTGCATTAAAAATATCCTCAACATGAGTCAGTATACTTTAAATTGCTCACACATACGAATTTAACTCTGTTGTATAACAAATATATCTGAAACACTACTACTTTTATCCCAATAAATAATACCATACCTTGGCAGAGACTGAAAATTCGAAAAATATATGACTTTTAGAGTATTATTATTTACATATTTCTTGATTCTAATTGAATAGGCCACATTATTTCGTTTTTGACTAGGTTGTGCTAAATGAGTATTCCAATTTGGGTAATCATCTATATAAAGACCAACTTTGTGCTAGACGTATAATTATTATTATTATTATTATTATTATTATTATTACATTATTATTAGTTTTTAATGCCATTTTAATAAACTTCAAGTATAAAAGATACTCATACATAAAAGGATAACTTGGTGTACCCTGTATATTATTTATAATATTAATTTATATTACCTGAACAGCCACAATGGCGACAGCAACGAAAACCAAAGAAAATTTCATGTTTGTAGATTGATGTATTTGCTATAAACTTAGATATAATACTACAAAGTTTGCAAATACAGGCAATGTTTATATAGGAAGACTCTGGGTCATGCATGAAGATCACATAATGAGCGGTTTGTTTTTGGTCGGGTTCAAAGTCCTAATTTTGGCGAAGACAACTTTTTTTAACTAGTTTAAGAACTGTTAATTTACTTGATCGTGTTTTTTAATATACAGTGTGACAGGAAACTAAAGCGTGATCCCTATAATTTATAATACATGTATACTTCTTTTAAATCATGTTCTTATGTAATAGCAATTACTGGTATTTCCATGAAAGAATATATAAAAAGCTTCACAGAACATTGGATTATAACTCTCTTTAAAAGAGGTCCGTAACCAGGGTGGGGCTAAAAAGGGGTTAGCCCCTCCAAATTTGTTTAAGGCGTCTCATAGATATTTAAATTTTAAAATTAACATAAGTGCATGAATAAAATTTTTTTGTCATTTAAAATATAGGCACATGTTTAAAATTCAATTTTCAGTTTCATTAATAAGAGTTTTAATATAAAATCCGAGGGGCAAAAAACGTCCTAGGGGACTTCCCTAAATTTCCATAAACTTCCCCAAACTTCCCTTACTTTCTACAAATTTACTTGTAATTCCAGTGGGCTTCTCCTGAATAACCCTAGACTTCCGAATAGATTTAACACAATAGATCTGCCTATTTACCGTATGGCAGCTCATAATTAATAGACTGGGCCAAAAAAATTGACTAATTTTTTTTTTGAAAAATATATCGAGAATGTCATTCAGAATGACAAAAAAAATATTTCGTGAAAATTTGAGCCCTTAATATTAATTTTAAGAGGTCTATCATCGCTATTTTTGATTTTTAGTCATAATTTGATGTTTTACGTTAGAACTGTCAAAACATTAAACTGAAAAAAATTCCTTGTCACTTATTTTTATATAAAATTAAATTCTCTACAAAAAAGGTCTGATTGAAAATTTTCGTCAGACGAGCCGTTTCCGAGTAATTGAGCCTAATAAATCGATGTGTTTTTTCGATTTGCCCTTTTTACTTTGAAATTTTGTAACTAATGAATCAATGAATATTTTAAAAAGCTCACGTCAGATTCTTAAAGGAAATTTAATGTTCTACAAAAAAGGTCCCTTAACATATTTGCCTAAATTTAATTCTTCAAAAGTTATTCACGAAGAAAAAATTGAAATTTTAAGTTTTTCTTCGATTTTAATCGTGAATAACTTTTGAAGAATTAAATTTAGGCAAAAAGGAATTTTTTTCACTTTAATGTTTTGACAGTTCTAACGTAAAACATCAAATTATGACTAAAAATCAAAAATAGCGATGATAGACCTCTTAAAATTAATATTAAGGGCTCAAATTTTCACGAAATTTTTTATTTGTCATTCTGAATGACATTCTCGATATAGTTTTCAAAAAAAAAAAATAGTCAATTTTTTTGGCCCAGTCTGATTATAATTTTTTTAAATTAAATATTTGAAGAGACTATAATTATTAATTATAGTCTCTTCAAATATTTAATTTAAAAAAATTATAATCAATGTATTGCTGATATCAAAAATAGGTTTCTTTTATTTAATTTAGGGATAATAAAATGACAGAAAACAAAAAAATGTTTTAATAGAAATAAACAATATACTTGTATTTCGTAAAAAATAACAAGACATATGGAAACTAACATTCGTTATTAAGCAGACTTTAAAAGTTAAACTTTTATAAAAACATAAAAATAAAGTTTAACTGTGTAGTCTGTATCCAATTGGATACAAAAATTGAGATGATACAGTTCTATATGATTGTATACAGGGTTACCAGATTCTGTCGAAAAAAATCTGGACATTTTGAATGAATTTATCTTAATTACAAAATTTACATAATGATACAATTCAAATTGTTTGACGTTACTTAAATATTGTTGATTGTGTCATTTTTGTAATTAAGGTTAATTTACACAAAATTAACCGATTTTTTTGGCAGAATCTGGTATCACTGATTGTATAGAATCATAATGTAATAATGTAGTTATGTACTACATAATATGTAGTAATATGTAGTTATAAGACGTCATTTTCTTGCACAAAGACAATTTTACAACATGAGAGACGAAGGAGCGAGTTTTGTAATGGCCGAGTTCGAGTAGCCATAAGTTATTTACACTACTTGAAGACTTTGATAAAAATATCGAATTTTAATTCATAATGCTAGTTAGGGATTTATTCTGCAGTTTGTAGTAACTAATTTCAGCTCGAGATCTGTCACTTGCAACAAAGAAAATTTGCTTGACAGTAAAAAAAATAAGGTTATGTAATTGTCACTGATTCAGGATTCCAACCTAGGAAAACAAAATTTTGTGTACTATAATGAACCCTAAATTATAACATGCAAAACAATTTAATTGCGTATTATTATAAAGACATTATAAACGCAAAATAGATAAAGAATTATAAATTATAAGTTGTATAAGATTGTATACGTTTATATACCCACGAGTATAGAGTCGCATGCAATTGTATATACCTTTATACAATTGTATATGCCTTTATACAATTGTATATAATTAGGTGGTAAAATTGGATAGTATTCTATATGGTTGAATAAAATTATATACATACATTTGGATATAAATTATTTTATTAGTGAAAAAAACAAATTTATGAAATTAAAGTGCTGTCCACATATTAAATTGCGCTTTACAATTGTGACTGGGGGGAAGCGGGTGTGGCACGTTTTGTAACTTCGTTTGACAACCAGGAAGGGGGGTCAAAAAAGGTCACAAATCTCGGGAAGTAATATTTGAAAGGCTTTTAATATAAGTTAAAGTAACAAATAAAAAAGTAATTAATAAAAATATAAATAAATTAAATAATAACCGGGTTAGAATAAAAACAAATGGATGGATATTTGGAATATAATACTTAATTTAACATGAAAAACACATAAATATAAACTTGTCAGGAAGTGAAACTAAGATAAACTTAAATGTGTTATTGGGATTAATAAAATGCCGCAATATATCTTTTAACAGTTAGGTTAGAATGAAACGTCAGGCTTCACCTCGTCGTTACGATAATGGACTCGTCCAAAGCTGTGTACTTCCCAGGATTTCCTTGCAACTTCCTTTGATTTTACTGGACTTCCTTATACTTCCCTGGACTTCCTTAAACTTCCTCGAACTTCTTGGACACACATAAAACCACACCCCTCGAAAAAATCTGTATTCCCAAAACTTAATGGGTGGCAGTAAGCATAAGCTAGCCGGCCCGCATACGGCCCGAATACGTTTTGCCGAATCGGCCGCGTGCGGCCCGACACACGTATTTCTTCCGGGGTCTAGAACGGGCATGTCTGCCTGAATCTCGGCTATGTTAACTTATATCCTATAAGTTCAGTCCTGCAATTCTCTGAATGGCAAGATAATTCTTTAACACACTCGACTAGCTAGACATTATTCGTTACTGAGCAGATGAGGATGGAGATGGGGACTCCAAACAATTAATGTTCAGCTATGCCATTACGGATGCACACTTCCAACTAAATATCGCAACCAATCGCTATTTATAGTTAGCTTGCGTGCGTAAGCAGCCGTGAGATGTATTTCTTTTATCGCTTTTATCGGCCGGCTAGGGCAAGCCGAAGGATTTTGCAGCGGCATGCCGTATTCTGGCCGACTTCGTTTAGAACATGGCTAAACGGTACCGGGGTAACATAACGAAGGCCGACTGTTTGCCGAGTGTTTGGTACTTACTGGGGTTCAAGTATAAAGTTTTTAATTTTGGTGTTTGTTTTGACTTATTTTCTTTTTGACGTTTTGGTACCTTCTTGTTTAATAAAAAAAGTATGTCTAAGTCTTTGACTAGCTCTGCGTGCATTTTAAATTCCACTTCTTATACCGGAATATGATTTTTTAACTGTCCGCTTACCCGACACGCCGACGAATTCTCGATAACTAATTTTTGCTCCCTTTGCGGATACCTTCCAAAACCAAAAAAAAATTCTTGAATCATTTTTTTCCATTGTATTTATCAAGGTATATATTTAACTGTTATATTCCATATGCCTTGCTGTTTAATACATCCTTGATGTTTGTTAAATGTATTCAAGTGTGACGTCATTGGTACTGCTGGAGACATACGTCTCCAACTTTATTCATGCAAATATGATCGATGATGCGACGGACTTTTCTCGTGATTTGGACTGTATATATAATATATACAACTTTTTGAATCCGCAAAAAAATTGAATTTTGAAGGAAGTTCTTCAGATTTTTTGTCCTTTAGATCAAAGGTAGTTAAATTATATTTCCTGTTGCCATACAGCTTTATTATTTGCCACCTTCATTGCATAATATAAATTTATATTATTTATAATATAAATATATATGTATCTAAGAAATATTTAAAACCAAAAAGTGTAAAACCATTAACATATTAAACCTTCACAAAACATAATTAAAAATTAAAAATTTAAATACAAACAAGTATACAAGTATACAAGTTATTTCGGAAATTACTTATATGCATAATTGCAATTATTTTTTTTAACAAGGCCAAAATCGAAAAACAATGAAACAATAAATTATACAGGGTGTCCCAAAAGTCGCGCACTACCTTGAAGGTGTATGATCTACAGACCTCCAGCAATCCCAGAAAAATGTTAAAAAATCTACCTTTGTTAAAGAGACACATATTTTTTAAATGGTAACATTGGGTACTAATAAATTGGTAGATTTTTTTTTTAATCATTTTAACAACAAACAAAAATATTAAAAGTGTCACATAAGTTACTTTTAATTTTAGGTTATTAATTTTATGTTAGACTTGACGGAGGCAAATAAAGGGAGTCCCTGTCAGGAAGTAACAAAAACAACTCTAATAATAACCTTAAATTAAAACAAACACAGGCAACCAGCATTTTTAAGCATTCTCCAAAAACAACATATACTCAGTGAGTATCACGCACTTGAGGAAGCATACAGTCCGTTCAGGCTAAGTTGAGCGCTTTGGTGGGGGATCATGTTGATTAAATTAAATATCG